TGTGCTGATGAGTTCACTATTCTTCCTAGGACCGACAATTCAATCATTTAAGCATTCCAGCCATATAAATCACATATTTCCTTTCTATGATTACACGGTGAAAAAACGATAATCATGATCGTCATCTTTTGGAGGAGCACCAGTGAAGCAAAGACGATGCTAAATAAGCTCAAAGAGGCGGAAAAAGGACTAGACTGCGCATAATTAGCACGAAGACCCAGTTCATGAAGAACTCATGGTGCGAATGGCGAAGAAATTGAACGGTATGGTTCTTTGATTACGGAGACCACCTCGTACGTGTATTTTGAACGTTCACTGAGCATGGGTAATAACATAAAGAAGGAATTAGACAGAAAAGAGGAGCATTCGGACCTCTCGAAGAAACCACCGATCAACTAAAGTACCCGAAAATCCACGCTCACCTTTTCGATTCAGCAGTCCTCCCAGCGCTCTGTTATGCACTAGAGATGTGCAGTAATACCTCAGCCACGTCGAGAATACTGCGCACCGCTCACAGAGCTCTTGAACAATTTCTCCTGAAATTTAACCGGCACTCACAACGTCTAGCGGGAATGCGCAGCTTAGATTTTTGAAACCTATCCCATCTTTAGCATCTATGAGAATACTCATCGATAGTGAAAATGGGCCGGCCACATAATAAGAAGAATAGATTACAGATGGACGAAATGAGGATTTTTTTCAATCTTTGTCACGAATGTCGTTGAATGCTGTTCAAGTCGATGCTTCCTGCAATTCTGAGATAGTCAAGCTGGAATGTCCTCACATAGATCAGACGGAGTGAGCTAGTTCCAAAAAAGTATGGCACCAACTTCCCGATCCAGACTGGATGACAACCTTGGTTTGTCCGAAGCGGCGTCGAACAAACGCGTGGGCAGGTAGGACCTTTCGCTTAATGAGCAGCACCACTGCCACTGCGCCACCTTTTAATGTCATACATCACATATAGCGAGATAAATAAGAGAGGAAATGTAACCTGATGTTACCAGTGATCGTGAAGAAACTCTGCTCTAAACACTCCTTTGAGGGGAGCACTTGGGACGTTGTCTAATTCCCGTAGTGCACATCATCAACTGTGTGATTCATCTGCGCAATGTGCACGCCATGCAGGAAATGTGTATTCCCTCCAAATCGGCGACAGTCTCTAAAAGCCTCTTCCGGTATAGTAGTCAGCTGATTGCTGCGCACATCATGCGGGGCGAGTTCATATTAGACTAACGAACATTTTGTACATTTCTAAGTGTACAATAATGCTTTTCTCGGTCAACATGCACCACAACATCTATTTTGCATATTCTATCAAACAAATGCAAGTAAATGCAGCGAGAAAGCTTTGATCTGTGAAATAACAGCAACAAAATATGAGCCATATATGACTAATTCCATGAGATTAGTCCTGAAACGCATGAGTCATGATGTGTAACTGTGATCTGCGATTCATATCGTCACTGTTTTTCACGTGTTTTATTTAGAATTTCTAGAGTTGGGAGAGCAAACATCATAGAAGCTGACTTTTAGAAAATTTTTCCCTATGAATAGGAATTCCATGTAATGTGCACTGTAAACAAAGGTCAAGGTAACGTAAACATGAACTTCACCTTGCCTAGATAATTCAGCAGTCTTAAAAATGTTTCAGTAAAAATACTTTATCTGGACAAGGACGAAAACTGTGCATAAGATACCAGACGAAGTCATATCAATAAACAAATGAGCTATTTTTAACTGAACACGGTAGTTGGTAGAGCTAAAGTTTTGTTCGTATGCAAAGAAGCACTTCGTTCACTTCAAAGGTGTTGAGCAAGCGGAGACCTAGAGCATCTCCACGATTTCATCGGCACGACTGCGTTTTTTTTAAAGCGGCCGTTATTTTTGGAGAAAAGCTGTGCAATAAATGTTTAGAGAACCGGACGAAAAGATTTCGATGAAGCCTGACGCTTTCCTTTCATGATGTCTCCTGTGAATCGCGCAAATGCCATGGCCAACTGGTACAATTCGAACAACAAATAGATATAACATATTGAAACTCAAACACGATTGGCTTCGTCACGATCACGCTTCGTCACACGATTTTCAATCGGTCCGTTAATCACCACAGGTTTATTGTGCGTTGTTTAGATGAGATCTCGAAGCAGCAATACTGAAGCGGTGAAATCTTTTGTATACGTTATTATCGTTCAGGACTTCACTAATAAATATACTAAGAATAAAAGTAGAGAAGTTCAAGAAGAGAAATATCTTAGTCGAGTTGGTAGGAACTTTCTGAAGAGACCTTGACTTGCTATTCTCTCAGCCATATTTTTACTCTATCACTGCTTTCTAAAATCAGCCACCAACGGGAACGACTTAGGAAGCATGTATTGGCGTTTAGCACACTTGTGCTGAAGCTGCGATCGAAATCACAATGGCTTAGTTTTAACTTACTTCCCATTCCATTTTCATGGCAGTAGACGTTGTGAAATATATCGATGCGTGTCTAGGTTGGTGTGGTGGATAGAACGTGGTTCACCGGTAAGGGTAATCACAGGTTCGAAGCCCAACTAAGGTCCCAAGTTTTGCTCACATTGTACACAGTTTTGTATTTCGCATCGCACCCTGCCATGAAAAAAAATGGGTAGAAGATAAACGTTGAAACCAGAATTTGAATTTCACTTTTTAAATATACATTGGTTTATGTCATGCTGTCAAAAGCGGATGGATCAAGCCTGGTCAGTGCGTAGTACTGGGAAAAACATAGGAGATTTCCTTATATCCTTTTCGAATGATAGCAACGAATAAAACAGGTGAAGTTGAATGGTGTTTTGTTTCTGTTCTCACGATTTATGCTGCCTTAACGTATCATGATGAAAGACCACTTAGTGTTATTAAAGGCGCTCGAAAGGACAATGCTAGGAGTATCCCGTGTCACACAAAAAAGTGAAGGTATCCGAAGCTCCAACCTGCGTCAACGATCAAAAATCACAGACATCGTTCTATACACGGTCGAGGAGAAGATGGAACGGACAGGTAATGCGTATGAACGACAATCGACAGACTAGAGCTGTTATTGACTGGATTACTCGGGATGTTAAACGTACTGCGGGAAGACCACCACCCCCATGTCCAGAGTCCTCGAAAACCCTAAAAGAAAGGTGTGATGCTCAAAGAGTCCTTAGAGCGAGCAGAACTCATTGGACTACTCTTGCACACGACAGGGAAAAATGAAAGATTTACTCATTACTTCCCGAATTACATTCTTATTTGACATCAATAGCATCAGTTATCAGGAGGTAGACGAGGGTTCAACGCACTACATTCAGAAGTCACATATGGTCGTGAATTCAGCCTAATTGAAGCAGGACAGGCATATTCTGTTGACTAGATACATTATAAGAAGAACAACGTAATTATTCTCTTAGAATGCTACCAATATTTTTCGTTCAGTCAAAATTCACACTTAGAGATATCATCTCTAGTTGATACGACTTCTAAGCATATTATTTATTGATATTACTTATTCTGTATTCATCGTTCGTGGAAGGTTTTCGCACTGATTCAATTACAATAAGTGAATCAATATGAAAGCAATCGTCAGCCAGCCCCCTCTCGTCCCCCCCCCCCTTCTCTGGTTGGAAGTCCTTTTTTCTCTCGGGAGTGTTCCTCGGTGTCGAACGGTTCTGTACGGTAGCAATCCATTCTGCAGCCGGCTCACACAAGCAGACCAGAGTCCGACGTTTTCATTAAGACACCTAGAAGTTGTCTTGGGTTGCAGCAGTTTTTAAAAAACAACTACGGGGAAGACAGATGAAATCTTTGAAAACAAAAAACTTGCACTCAGAATGAAAATGTGTTGGCTGTTCTTTGGGTAGTTGGACCTTCTATCGAGATTGCTTCTCCATTTTCTTGATGATTTTCCTTCATCACTTCATAGTTCAACTGCTGAACTCAGTTGTCATTTGGTATTTGCTCGTAGATAGAATAACCTTCCAGTGTCGATTCATGTACAGGATTTACCGCGAAGTACTCGATGCCTTAGGGTTCTTTGGTTCATTGCTATACATCATTATGTTGTTGACGTTATGTCAGAGTAGAACATTTGATATGATTGCTTTTGGCAAGAAAGCCTTGTGGGTGGGCGACGATGTGTTTACTTCAGTGGATTTATATTGCAATCAACAGTGTTGTTCTACACTCTAACTTATCTTTTGTACCTCAGATACATCTTTTTGGCAGAGATAAAGAAAAACACTAGTACAAATAATGAAAAGAATAAGAGAGATATAGAGCGCTGTTTTGTGGCATCCGACTGATTTCTGAGAAGTGATGTCTGTTCACCTAAATGTGATTCACATCGCAGTCTTTTGCGTGTGAAAAACAGCTGTTCATTCCAGTGTTCTATAATGAATTTAATGAAATGTACAGAAATAACCAAACGTCTCCTACACAGAAATAGACTGAGGAATGAGACGAGTAGTTGATGAAATACTCAACAGAATCTTGAAGTCGACTGAATTTATGATGACTTGGAAGCATTTCCTATATTTGCATCTGACTGTGTTAATAATGTATGATTATAGCTAGGAATCCCTACCCATAAAGCACTCAGAACACGAGTGACAGCTTAACTGGAGTAAACCGGCACGGCTGTAGAGCTTCTATCCTTTCTCCTTGGGAAAATAATGCGGATTCAGTGTGCCCACGACGCCCAAGGCATAGAGGTGTTTTGTCCTACTGAAATTTTTTGATGAACTCCGAGAAATAACTGACATTACGTGAAGATCCTGTTCTTCCTAAACGGAAGAGGAGATTTCGAGGGCAGTCCAAGTAGTTTTCTGTAGCGTAAAATTCTATTGTTAATCTTGGCAGACAACAAAAAAAAGTGTATTGCCAATTTCTTTCAATCGGGTTTAAACTTTCATTCCTATGGGAGACTCGTACAGGTTTTCTTCAAAGTTTACATGTTAAGGTGATGATTAGAAGCGCAACTAGCCGTCCTTGAGTTCTTAATGGCGGAAAAGTGTTATCATGAAGACTGGGAGACAGGTTTGGCAACGGGGAGTGGTTGGACCGGGCTATTGATCGACTTCTTATCCCGACAGTGTGCCGGCTGAGTCCGTTGCGTGATGATCACCTCCTACACTCTCCAGTCCAATTTCTGCCTCTCTCACCATGAACTGGTAGAGGACGATCAGAACTGTACGACTCATTTCTTGAAGAGAGAGACCAAAGCGATCGCTGTGAGTCACCTATTTGTCGGAGTCCCACTGTTAATGGCTTTTCGACGGCCCTCACAGCCCTCCTTTCACAATTCTTTACATTCAGAATCAACATTTGCTTTCGGTCTCTCTCACAACTGTCTCGTACTAGCTTGCACTGTAGTCATCGCATAGATCCATACAATTTTTCACCAACTGAGTTTTTGCAGACATAAATGAAAGAAAAAGCATAGAATGACATCCACTGAATTTGTCAACTCGATGAAATTCTTGCTTATTTGTTTCCTTCATGGCTTTTGAGAATTGAAATGCTGTCGACGAATCGATCACAGAGGGATATTTAAGTCTGAACATTTTCCATTATGGTAATAGTACATTAGATTAATTCTATGGTAGATTTCTTCCACTACTACTGAATGTGACCAGTTTCAGTGAAGTGAATGTTTTCAGCCCACGATTTGCTGAGAAAGCCGTAGGAATTTTTATGTACTAGCGGAGAGTTGATGTGATGTACTGAATCCTTTCAGGGCGTAGTTATGCCGTTGTTTAATGTGAAGTGGTCTTTCTGTGGATGAAAACAACTCGTTAACATTGAATTCTGGCCTTGTTGCCGAAATACTCTCTAGTTTTAAGAATAATTCGAAAAAATTCTGATAGCACTTGAACACTTTGAAGAGACGCTCATCTACAACTTTTAAGAACGGTGTTGCTCTAGTACAGGCGATAGAATCCCCATTTGCTTGCAACAACACATAGGACTCCACTACTGTTCGCATCTACAATGCAACTTGAGTGGATTTCCACTCATATCTTCAGGATAAGTCATAATATTTTTATTTTCTTTTTTATTTGGTCTGTCTTTACGTCTACTGTGCAGATCCCAACACTTCTCACATTCGATTCATTTCTTCTCATCCACTGTCCACGAAGATCTTTAAACTTTTACGTGTGACTTCTGCTACTGCTTGAGGATTTTCATTTTTTCTTGAATGTCGTAGAATGCTAGCCGAGCACTTGGATTGCAGAGAGTGATTTTTCAGACAAGTCCGGTACCGATTTCCCGACCCCAGAGGGATGAGAGGCTTGGTTGGCCCGGAGCAGAATCGAACTAACACCGTGCTCGTGATCATAGATATCACAACCACAGTGCTATTCGCCCATAACTCATAATATTAGTCAAAAAGTCCTGCTATGGAAAGGCTTATAACACTTCTATCCAAACCACTTACCTTTTGATTATTTATTAGACCACGCTATTTTGTATGTTGTAAGTTCGTTTCCTATTTGCAATGCATTAGTGAATAGCGCAGTATTTTATGATGATACTTCCCATGACCAGCACAAAAGGATACCGTGTGTTTAATGTTGCAGAATCCTATTGTAGTTCGAAGAAAAACGCCAAACTATGGATAAATATAATGTTTAACGTTTTGTTTTCTGCCCTTCATAATTTTCATGGCAGGTTACTAAGCGAAATACAACCACAACGTTGCTGAGATATTTGCAAAACTCTGGACCGCAGGTGTCTATGGTGGGGAACGAACGCGCTATTATCCTTTCCGGGGAGTGCCGATTTTATTATCCTTTCTATGCCGATTTGCGCTCCCCAGATCAACCCCGCTGACGGGTGATTGCTGTGGCAAAAAGATCGATAGAAATAGCTGAGAGACGTGCGAAACAAAGGACCCGCATGGTGTGGTGGTGAACGCGTTACTCCCCGGAAAGGATAATAGCGCGTTCGTTCCCCACCATAGACACCTGCGGTCCAGAGTTTTGCAAATATCTCAGCAACGTTATGGATAAATAGTTAAATTCTTTTTTAAAATATGTTGGTGATGATATGATCCTTATATGAGTTACCCGTATTTGAAAACATTTCAGCCCTCAATTTTTAAATACATGTCAGACCACACCAAACCTTACTAACAAAGTAAAATGCGCTAAAATCCACGATTTTTTGCAAACATTATGCGGATTTCCTTACTACACCAGGTTAAGGGCTAAGCGTCTGGAGCTCGCGGTCAGTTTCGTCCTTCGTTCTTCTTTCAATTTCAGTCGTTTCTCAAATAGCAATGCTACTGAATAAGCGAGAGGGGACACGACGAAGCTCTCGAATGTGTGGTCGTTGCTGCCAGCTGCCTTATCCGTGATAAGAATATTAAATTTTCCCACGACCGACTTTCTATTAACCTCGGCATTGTTCAAGTAATTCTTTGTATTTTTGTTGAGCAAACGCGAGGTGTTATTATTCCTTATTCACGAATGAGCTGACGTTTTGGCGGATTTCGCCTTCCTCAGAGCCGCTTTCTATGAGGTCTCCACTAAGTATGTCACGTAGAGACCGACCGCACAGAAATCACATTATACTTCCATGTGATTTCTGTGCGGTCAGCTCATTCGTGAATAAAGAATAATAACACCTCGCGTTTGCTCAACAAAAATACGAAGAATTAAATTTTCCTTTATCAGTATTTTACCACTTCCTGTTAAGGGTTCTGAAATAAAGTTAGCAATCTCGAGAAATTACACTGCTCTTTGCTGCACGCTTATCTGTGTATTGGAGAAATTCCTTTCCTTTTGTGAAGTCCTATTTTCAAGTACACTAGCTGTTGTCAGGAATTGAACTCGACAAATAGTTTCCGCTTTTCTTCTCAGTATCTCAATGGGACACCTTAAATTACTACGGTCTTTAACGAGCAGGTGAACTCGTAAAGAGGCGTATTGGCACCTCATTTCCGATCTAAAGGTTCTAATAGTCGTGTTGCTGCTTACAATACATTCGTAGAAAATGAGAACCAAAAAAAGTGTAAATGAACACGCAACATGAAAATATGAAATGGTTGACTGCAGATATTTAGATTGCCCACCAACTTTTGTAGTTGCACTTCATTTCATATGTAACTTTTTTGTGGTGGACTGTTAAATTTACAAATCGGTGAAATTCTCGTTACATCTTTCAACGCGTGTCTGCTCGAGGATAAAACATTGAGTTATTGAACAGTGCTGAAGTTGGCAGAAAGTCGGTCCTGGGAATTTTTGCAAACATGGTCGTCGATTTTCGCCCCCGTAGCAGACTCACCAAGCCTGCCATCTCTCCAGGCCCGACAACTTGGTACCAGCGATGTTTAGGAAGATAGCAGCCCCAGTGTGATACACTGAGTATGCATTCTATCACCCCTATTATGCTGCGAATCGAGTTCAGTGCATGGCGCACCCTCCAGGGATTGATCAACACTGAGCACTTTATGCCTTTTATCTTTTATTATTTCTACTACTGTATTTAAGGAAGAAAACAACTGCCTTGTGTTTTGCAGCCGGTGACATTTGCGCCTAGTACTCTGTCCATTCAGTAGACACTACCTTAGATTCCTTTCGTTGTATTTCTAACAAAATTATCGATACAGTGTAATGTTTACTACATTAAGCTTCGTTAAATGCAGTTATATGTTCTACATATAACTTCTTCTAGGTGTAGAAAATTTCAGAAGCGATCATTGTGATGGAACGACGTGAGATCTACACAACACACCAACCCGACGGGACCTACGTCACGACAACAACACGAACGCAGACCAAGTACCATGAGGTGAAATACCGAAGCCGTTTCTAGTACTCGCACACCCTCTCTCGAAATTCAGGAGAAGCTCTGCTTCTCAAATTCATCGAGTTTCAAAATTTTGGTACTAACATGGGACCTATATTCAGGACAAAGTGTACGGTTGCGGATTGGGTCAGACAAACAAGCACTACTGCCTAGGACCGCACGGAATTCTTCGCATCCTTGAAATTGTGAGCCTTGATGACATAAAGATTTGCGTTCTCATGATCGGATTGTGTAGCGAGGAAAAGAAATGCTCTCGCATTAAAAAGAATAAGAACCAAAAGTGCTATCTTTAGCGTAGCTGATGGTAGTTGGTATTAGATTTAATACTAGTTGATATTATATAAACATAAATATTAGTTGACGTGGCAATGCATTGTCTTATAGACTGCTCCATAGACTGCCCCATTTTCAGTTGTTATGCCTCGTCGTGATTTCGCTGATCACTTCTGTTTTCGGACCTGGACCTTTCAAAGGTAAATCTGAAAGTGGAAAACTTTCCGAATAAGGAAAACTTTGCTACCTCTGTTCGCACGGATCGTCATCTTGTTCTACACTCTACCGTATCATTTCTGAAAAAACAAGTGCAAAAGAAGATTTCACTTTTCGTTTAGCTCTCTATTCATCGTTTCTAGCCAACGTAACGTCGTTTTTAGTCATTCTTATCGTTTTATCCTTTATACAACGTTTCATTTTAGCCACACAGCTCTGTTCATACACTCCGTTCAGGTGTTCTCTTCGGTCAGACTCTGCTTCTGATCTTCGCCGGTGTCGCGATGTGTTTCACGTTTATTTTCTTGATCGTCTACTTTTTCACGTTAAACGAAACTCATCTAGATTTTTGGCCGTGGAGAACTACGGTGATCTTTCCGAACAATTATAACCGTATTCTGACAAGTTGTCAACTTGTTAATAGTAATATTATTATATTCGACACTATTACTTTCTGCATAGATGGGTTTATTATGAAATGTTAAGAAATCAGTGCAGTTGACAATGTGATGAGTAGACCAAAACAAGAACAAATGTAATATTGCAAATCAGGTGAACTCGATAAGCATGAGAGAAAAAGATTTGGACAAATGTTAAGTTTGATTAATAGGGAACGGGTTAAGTGGATAAGAAACTGAAACTTTTGAACGTGAGTTGTCAGAGATGTTTGAGATCCCTAACGGATAACTGGCTTCATGAGTTGATATCAACGCATAAGTGATTGGCTGAGTGAATGGCAGGCGCTGAGATTTTAGTGAATATTCTATTTGACTTTCTTTTGGTGTGAAGTGTTTATCTGCTATATCTTTTGTATTCGCTCATAACCTTATCCAACACAGATGTGTTGCAGCGATGTGGTCCATTGAAAGATGTTGTCCACACTCAGTAATTTACAAAAACCTTTTTGGGACAAGTTTTAGGTGTACGTTGCGCGCTACAAAGAATTGGACGTGGTGCCAGAGTGCCGCTTAAAACAAGGCGTACTGCGTATATATTAGAAAATATGAGAAACAGAAATGTTCTAGGAAGAAGTGACTAATTGTTTTTCTCGGTTGACAGTCTCTTAAGCAAAGCTTGGTTTGTGGTGTCTATTGCCTTTTCTCGCTCGAGGATTACGCTAACCATATTCCAGGACGTGGTGTTCTCGAGCACCTGTTGTGTGTCGTTCATCATTCTGGCAGTAGTGGAAGCATACTATTCGACTGGAAGTTGGTCAAATAACTGTAATGACATTGGTTCCGACGGCTTCATTCACAATGGCTGTCGCCTCATCTACGAATGGGCGTTCGCTTCAGTACGTGATCTACATTCGAGTTTATTCTTTCTGGGGAGAATTGGATCCGTGTCTGATAGCTGAAATATCTTCAAAATTTTCCCGAACCACATCTAAAAATATGAATCAATAAATGCCTGCCTCATGTGATAAGGTCAGACCAAACTTCTCTCTTACCATGTTGTCTCCTCAAAAAAGTTGATTGCGAACTACTAAATTATTATCGATATTAGAATGGAGAACACTATTCGAGGATTATGTTTCGAAACACCGATCGTATCCACTGATTTCCGATCACTGAATATTTAGGGAGATCTGAAACTGTTTGTGGTAGTTGATAGACTTTTCATGTTTTATTCACCACCGCCACTGATTAGTAGTAATACCTAAAAAATATTTGGTCTCTCCAGTGATGATCGCTCCATCCTGGATAGGCTTGAGGATTACTAAGGTGTTGTCTGGGGTGGTCTAATAATAAGCATGCCATGCGAATGTACTGCACTGAACTCGGAATTTTGTATGTCAGTATAAACTCCCAAGTCCGACTTTCTATTAACCTCGACATTACGCTTCCATATGAATTCTGTGCGGTCGGTCTTCACGCGACATACTCAGTGGAAGACTCATAGAAAGCGGCTCTGAGGAAGGTGAAATCCGCTGAAACGTTAGCTTGTGCTTAAATAAAGAAATAAAATAGCACCTCGTGCTTGCTGAACAGAAGTAGAAAGTATATTAATAATTTTTGTGTACAAAGTATAACTAACTGATAATTTAGGAATAGTTGGGTCAAAGTTTTAATTTTTAGTATAAAGCCAAGGGAGAGCACAGCAGTAGTGATCCCGCTAGATATACGGACGGCCCCACATTCAGGCAATCGTTTGACACCGTTCCGGACCATCGAAGCCACTCATTCACCAGGGCTCAGGAATCAGTGCTATACTTTCCTGGAACTAACGCATGCCGTTTGATCCATATGAGGATGTTTCAGCTTGACTATCTCAGAATTGCAGGAACGCGATTCACGCAGCATTCAACGACATTCGTGACATAAATTTTAAAAAATCCTCAGGCAGCAGTCGAACCCACACGCAAAGAAAGTTCGAAGACCTTGATGATGGATGAGAGGAAAAAAGTCAAATCCGAGAACTGCTGGAATCCACAAAGTGTGACATATACGATGTTGGGTCATTTAGCCATACTTGCATACTTGGATGGGCCGTCATTACTGGTCGTGCGGGCATCTGCACAACTTTCATTCATACCTTTCTCGCGTTGTCGTCGTCCGCGGTAGTGTTCTATTTCAAACATGGTGACGTTTTCGATGCATATTCCGTAATCCTAAATCCCCTTTCATCTCGGAATACAGATGGTTGACGAAAGCCACAAACAGGTCCGTCCATCGTTCGGGTGGTCTTCCAAGCGGACGCATGCATTCTATTGGAGTCCACTCGATTGTTCTTTTCGTCCATTTGTCATCTGTTCTTCTTACTATGTGACCGTCCATCTATTCGCTATCGATGTGTATTCTGCTAGATCCTGAAGACAAGAAAGGTTTCGAAAATCTGAGCTGCGCATTCCGGCTAGACGTTGTGAGTGCCGGTTAAATTTCAGAAGGCATTGTTAAGGAATTCTGCGGGCGGTGCGCAATATTCTCGACGTGGTTGAGGTATTACTGCATGTCTCTGGTGCATAACAGAGCGCTGAGAGGACTGCTTAATCGAAAAGGTGAGCGTGGATTTTCGGGTCCGTTTGCTTGTCGGTGGCTCCTTTGAGAGGCTCCAGTGTGGTCCATGCTACTCGCTTTCTTATATATAATTCTCTCTTCATCTTGTTCTCCATGTTCGTTTAACTTTCCAGCGTATAAAGTGGTTTCTCTGATCAAAGAACCATCAATTTCAATTTCTTCGATTTTCGCACCATGGATTTTTCATGAACTGGGCCTCCTTCCTATTCATACTCAGTCCTATTTTCCTTCCCAATTCGTTGAGCTTATTTAGCATCGTCTCTACTTTGTCGGCACGTTTTCAAAAGGCTACGATGTGGTCACTGAAACGAAGATTTGATAGGGACTTTCCATCTATACGTATGCTCTTCTCGTCCCAATCGAGTGACTTCGTTGTTCATTGCAGCGCGGCAATAAACAGTCATGGCCATACTGTGTCCTCTCATCGAGCCCCTTTTCTTATAGGCATGGTGAGAAGTCAATAAAAAAGCTGTGTATTTGTTGTGCAGTTTTGATAACAGTTTGCTAGTGTTGGTATTTAGGACGGATCCACACTGTGGTCGAAGAGCGTTGGTAGGATTACATTCGTTTCGACGCACTCGAACGCTTTCTTGTAGTCGACAAAAGTGAAGACTAGGAGCAGGTGCAGTTAGGATGCGCTCTAAGCACCAAAATCCTCATTCAGTGTGCCCACCAGAATTAGCTTACGCTTGTTAGTTCTGGCTGTTCCCTTTCATCTCCATTTTTTCATGACTGGAAATCACTTTTTCGATCTCACTGAATGGTCTAATTCACCACATCTGCGATGGAAATCGTAAAGTTATTGTTCTGTTACGGAAACTGGCGAAAGAAAAATTTAAATTTCGACACCGTTTTCATATTCATCAATATTCATCACATTCTTCCTGATTTTCCTCTTCACCACTATCGTTAGCCATGAACCCACAAAACCATCTTTATGTGCTAGCAATACAGCGGTGGAGAGAGCATGAGCTTTATTAAATAATAGGGTAAGCTTGAAAGAAAAATTATGCGAACGAGAGGACCATTTATAGTTGGTTGAACATAGCAACAACAGCTGATGTGGTCTGATAAAATGGTAAGAAACCAGTGAAGTAACACCGTTAGCATCCGGTCGGTTTTGGAATGAGCACTATCAATGCCTTTATAACTGACCGGCTATGATGGCTTGGGTAAGATGATAACAACATGATCGCAACGTCTTATTACTGGTAACCTCTTCGAGATCACATGGATCGCAAAAATTGTCACTAATTAGAATTTACAAGATTTAACAAACCAACAGATAGTAACGACACTATACTTCAATGACATCTGGATTTTGATACTCTTATTCCTCTTGCAAATATAATCGACTCCCCACTTCTTCTAGTGTACAAGTTATTATGAAAAATGTGACATTTAGTAAATACACCGATCATTTCAGTTCCTGTCGCTCGTGGTCGCTTGCCTCTACGGAGTCAGTGCTTTTCTCGCCACTCGTGATCGAAGCCATTCACGGATCATCAGAACCTACTAAACACAACTCAGGGAAACACTGCGACCATTCAAATGTGCATGCATAATGAAGACCTTACTAAAACTATGGTGCTAGAGGACGTTAAGAGTGAATAACCAGTGCCCATTCCATATTTTCTTGCGGATTTTAATTTACTCCCTGTAAAAAATTCGGCAGAGAACGAATTTTCGGTTCAGGTCTTAGCGTAAATGAAATAGAGAAACTACTGAAGTAGAGAAACAGTTATTTGTCAAAGTGGTTCATTATCCTGAGCAAGGCGGTATTCATGTACAGTATACAAATATTTTACGTTTACAAAACGGTAAATATAAGTATAAAAAGCCGACAACCCGCGACTATAGCGCTCTTTCGGGCCATTAAAGGCAACATAGAGATATTAAAATGGAATTATTACCAAGTTTTCAGATTCCACAAAAACTCCCAATTTACTAATAAATTCGTAGAGAACCTTCGAATGAGGTCCATCTACCTAAAAATCGAATTTTTGGAAAAGATTATAACCGAAATTTCTCGAGAAGTAAGGAGTAAATGAGCACGCTACTTTCCAAGATACCGAAGCTAACGCATGTTTTCCCTTAAGCCATGCCTAAACATTGTTTACGATAAAGAAAGTCGCAGATATTTCATAGGGTACGGATTTTTTGAAACCTGAATTTAATTATTTTCATCCTGATTATATCCACTCACATTCGCAGATTTTTCAAAACAGCAGTAAAACATTTCTTAATGTAAGAGATCAGGGGCGCGTGTAGCGCAGTGGTCGGGGGCGCCAACACACACATGGAGTCGATCCCAGCACCCATGGCCCACCAAGCCTTCCATTCCTCCGGGCTCAGCAAATTGGTACCAGACTTGTCTTAAAAGATAGCAGCACTGGTTCGATATATCGGTAGGCTACCGCGAGTCATTGTAAAGGCCAGATATACAGCTGGAAGTCAGCTCAAAATGATGCTTAATGAAGTCGAATACGTGGCGCATATCTCAGGGAATGACCAACGCCGAGAGTTTTATCCTTTTATCCTTTAAGACATCAGCCGATATAGTGCAAGTTTTTCAGCAAATACAACAAATATACGATAATTAACTCCTACGTCCGACTTTCTATTAACCTCGGCATTGATTGAATAATTCATTCTACTTCTGTTTAGCAAAAAAAAAATAATAAAATAACAAAATAAAAATCAAAAAATACGATTACTACTTGACTGAGTTCGACAGAACATACCCCAAAAAGTCCTTTTAGAAACTCGATACTCGTTAAATGAAGCATAACGTGCTCCAATCGACGTGAAGAATCACCAGAAAGCTTCAGCGACACCTGTAAAGTCTTCAGATGAGCTCGTACCGAATAGATCGCATCTAAGCTTAGTGCTCTATCTCTCCCCATTTTCTCCGAAATTCCGTTACATTGTAAAAATACTCGCCAGTTCTCCACGTCAACATCGCTTAAGTGTAGAAAGAGTAACAGAGAGTGGTTGAAATGCACTGAAAAACGCACCAGTGGAGCCAGCGATTGTTGTGCATTCCTCATTAGTTCAATCAGGTGCGATCTCTCATACGAATAATTCACTTAGAAAGTGCCTGTTCTGAAGAAGTTTGTCGTACACTTCGCAAATCCATTGGTGTAGGCAATTCTTCACTCATTCTATCTAATTACATTATTTAACTTTTATTTATGGTGAATGTGTACCTCCCAACAGTTTACTGCCTCATCGTGGCTGGTAGGTGTTCCTGGGTGTCGGGCTGCGATGTACAGCGTGGGAATTCTTCCTCCCAGCAAGGTCTCCTAGGCTGAGAAAGAGTTAGACGTTTCCATAAGGA